TTCTCGAAATGTGTGAAAATGTAATGAAAAATACAATCGAGGGGTCTAAAAACTGTGGTCTCTTATTTTGTTTAAAAGTTATTAACAATGGATATCAATCAGTTATATTGTTTTTTCCTGTATTATATCGTATTTACAAAATTCTTTCTAGCAGCGTTGTCTGAGTCATTCATATTGTTCAAAACTTTCTAGCGTTTTTCTTATCTTATTTTAATCATTCTAAAAGATTCAGCAACGTGCATCGCCGATGGTCACCTTGGTAATCTAGGTGTTAAACTAATATTACCTTGCCGCATTCTTTCGCTAAAAAATGCAAAAGGATCTCTTTCCTGTCGCGAGTATTTTCGCGTTCTAGTGTCACGCGCGACCTGGAAATATTTTCGTACAAGTGCCGCAGCTAAGACTGTTAGAATAATTTAAAGAGTCTTGTGTGCACATACAACAGATTAAAAATCACGATGGTGTAAATTCAAAATAATACGTGGTCATTGGTAATGAATATTAAAAGTTGGATATTTCTTTATACCGACCACGAAAAGGAAAAAAAAGTATCTCCACGTGTATATTTTCTGTTTTTCTACTTTTAGGTAAGATGTGAATTTTTAGAATTTCCCAATTGGTCTTTCATGAAATTGATAATGAGCGTTGAATGTAATTGGAAGTTGGATATCCTCCCTATTTTAGTTTTATCGAATTGATGGAATTTCAGAATTGATTTTTCATAATTCATTGGTTGGTAGCGAGCATCGAATATTGAACGAGATACGTAGATATGTATAACCGAGTGCTTGGAAATCTTTTATTTTTGGAATTCAAAATATTTGAGGGTTTTTAAAATATCATACACCAAGTCAAACGGAAGAACTCCAAGTAATTGTATAATATTAAACAATTATAAATGGTGAAAATATTAAAGGGGAATGTGTTGCTCAAATATTTTATTGTTAATGAGATCTGTTAACTGGTAATAAACAATAAGCGCAATTTTGCGTGACGTAATAAAGAAATGAAAAGGCAGTAATAAAGTAAAGGAGAAACGATAAAGAACAGATAAAGTGACAAAAAGTGGATAATAAAGAAAAAGAAATAAAATGAAGAAGAGTAAAAAGATAAAGAAGATAAAGAAGAAGAAGAAAGAGGTTGACAAGTTTTCAACTGTTCTTACGTACAAACTCTAGCCACCAGGACGTCTAGAAGCTCTAGCTGGTGCTTTCTAGGATGGCTAAACGGTTGCCCTTAGTGCCTGATAAAAATTACCACCTAAGCTGTCACGCGAAAGAAATAACCACGATACCTTGGGAACGAACAACGAACAACAAACGTGTTCCATTTCTCGAGACCACTTTTCAGTAAACCACGTCTCCAAGCTCTGTATCAGAACACCGAGAAGATAATTGGCTTCACAGCTACAGCAACGTGTTCGTTGCAACCTACTCACATAATTCCAACACGTAGGTAGCACACGTTGTCATTATCGGTTCAATGGCGGCTCCTAGGGTAAGGTAAGGTTATTTAAATCGGAAAACTATTTATTAGATATTCAAGTCAAGCTAAGCAATGATCCTCGCCAATTCGCCAAATTTGGTTACAGGCAATTTTTAAGCTATCTAAATTCGAAAACAGATTATTTAATTCGTTATTAGTCATGTGATAAACAGCGAAACATATCGTGTGCATTGGCAGCTCAATCGTTACGGTTCTCTACGAGAATATAATAAAAAACGAAAGTTCAAATATTGTTAATATTCTCAATAGCGTGTCATGATGTAAACCTAATAGGTTACCTTCATTCTCGATTATGTACGTCATATCAAAATACTCGTGTTTGATCGTAAAATGACATTAAGATCAAACAATCAACAAAAATATATTTATCCTGTTGTTCCTCTACATATACGTAAAACGAGTTTGATTACTCGTTTTATTCGATACTGAAGCTTAGGCGACTCAAATAACCCTACGTTACTACGATGTATCGTACATGAGTACTATGTCACATCGTTGTTCATCGAGAAGAGCGAGAAAATGAGGGACGATGAGAAAAATCGAGAGGAAGAAAACGTTGGAAAAGAGGATGGAAAGGGCTTGAGTATCCTTTGGTATGCGTTTAACCTCCGAAAAAAAGGAAGAAATTCATCGTGAATCCACTTTTAGAGGAACACGCGGCACTCCGCTCGGCGAAAAAGGGAGGAAAGGGACGTACAAAAGGCTCGAGTATTGTTTACTCTGACGTGGGGTGGTGCCGAAGAGAGGAACAGAGAAGGAGAGTCGCGGAGAATTCGACCGTACGATAAAGGGATGACAAGGAAGCCCTGCTCGAGTGCCACCGACTGACTTCTACCCCCATCTCGTTCCATTCCGCGAATGAAAGGCGTATAAACGAATGAAAATGAGAGAAGAAGTTGATAGAATCGGTATTGGACTGTTTCTCGCGTTTCTTAGCCGCTTCAGCCGTAGGCGACACGGACAGAATCTAGTGACGTTAAGCGAAAGATCGATTGCTATTCGATCTATCGATGCAGTATCCTCTTTCGCTCTTTGTAAATTGGTAACGTAAAAGTGTTAGATTCGAACAGTTCAATCTATTTTTTATGGTAACTTTGTTTCCTGAGCACGAAAAAATCTTCAATTCTCTTTCTTTGGATTCATATAATTACGCAAACTCAAATAAATGTCGCGTTAATTTTCCAAATTCGTTATTTAAGTTTCACTTTGACGATAGGTCATAAAAAAGAACGGAGATATTTTCCGAGATATCAGCGATATTTCAAAATATACTCCTAGCCACAACGAATAATAGAATATTATGAAAATAACATGAATGACAATATACATAAAATGTAAAAATTTCCAGTCCAAGAATTTTCCCCCTGGGAGACACAAATCGAAAATTACGCAGTCAGACAGCGCACCGAATCGAAAATGCCAATCCTACGTCATCTTATGTTACGAATTTGCAATCCATCGACGATCAGAAGCTACAAGCGACCAAGCCAAATGCTCGAAACCACCAAGTAAAGTTAAAAGCGGAGTCGAAGCAACCATAAGGACCTGTCTGGCAAACTATCGAAACCTCGCTAGTATTCCTGACCGAAAGAACCCAACATCCTAAACAACATCGTTTACTAACGAAATTTACAAACTAGTTTCGTGAAATACGTAATAGAGGCAAGCCTGACCCAAACCATAATAATCTGTGTAGTAAACTATCGACACACCTCTGCATCGTGTTTTATCAAATCTGCAAACTAGCTGCGTCAAATACGTAACACGTTAAACTACTAATCAAAGGCAGAGGCAAATTCAAAGCAACCATAAGCATCCAAGTGTACTTGGAAAACTACCAAAACTACTCTATTCAAAGAGACCAAGCATTCCAAACAATATCATACTATATCAAACTCGCGAATAGGCTTAACTCGAGCACATGGTATATCAAATCACCACCCAAAATTATCAGAGCAACCATAAGTAGTTGAAAGTACCTGAAATATTATCAAAACCTTCCTAGATCACATGTTATATCAAATCATCAAATACATAATACGTTATGCCGCCAACCAAAGCTGGAAGGATTTAAATTCGAAGTGAGTAAGGGATCTACCCAAAAACCTATTAAAACCTCCCTGTCCTATCTAAAAGAACCAACCACCCGAAATAACGCCATACTTTATCAAACTCACAAACAATCCTCCTCAAACACGTACTGCGTATCAATTACCAAGCTCCTCGAAACATCCAATTCCCCGTTTATCATTCCAAACACAATTTCACCCTTCAACGAACTATATACAGTCGAAAGTTAGGGACAGTGTAGCAAAGAGGACTCTAATGCTTTCAGATAGCGCGTGGACACACGCAGAAAGCACATACAGAACTATTCACATGTACCCAGTGACCAGAACCACTACAGCCACGTACTACCTCGGCGTGCCTACTTCTGCATATTACATACAAGCAAACACAGAACGGCCACGCATCGTTCACATCGAGCAGAAACGCGTGTCCATAAAGCGGCTCCCACGTAAACGTTTTTCTACGTCTGTACGCGTGGGTGTGCACGGATGAACGGTGGAGGAGAACAGCGGCGGGAGGAATGAGGCGAAACGGTGGTGGTTGAATACAGAGACGAAGGGGGCTGGTAGGCCGGTTCACGAGAAACCTGGGTAGGGGTAGTTCGGTTTAGTTTGGGGAGGCTCTCTCCGCGTTTGGGTTCGAGTCCCTCCAGCTGCACCACCACCGTATCAACCGGCACACCACCGTTCCTACCATCGCCACAATCCTACTCCCGCAGGGGCGGAACTCGATAGACCTAAGGGGATGGGGGCTGCCTCCGCTCGTGGATCAATACCATGGCGGGTTGCAGGGCATACAGGGGGTTGCTACGTGGTGTGGCACGCGCATACGCTGCTATCCCCCCCGGAGGAAGAAGGACACCGATCAACCCCGTTGCCACGTTCTATAGAAAGAGACGAGAAAATATGACTGAAGAGTAGAGAAGAGGATGGAAGATGCGAACCAGAGTGGAACTGTTGATTCGCGTTTGAAATACTGTTCGGTTTTAAAGCGATTTCGCTAGTTTATTAAGGATCGAACAAACCCACCGAGGGATGATATCCTCGCGTGTCGAAGCAACTTCGAAAATCGCCAGTGCCTGGCACTGCCATAATGCTATCGAGAGCAGATTAGAAGGGCTTTGCTCCGATCGTGCTGACGTATGCTCGTTTTCGTGACACTTTGTCTGTGCTGGATTTCTCCCGTCTTTTTAGAAGAAGGATCTTGGTTCTCGAATGCATTGTGTTCCTCATTTGGAAATATATCTATCTTTATTTGCAGAAATCTGAGGCATGCTTTCACGACGCTTTGGCTATGGCGAGGGATTACTTTGATTTGCAAACGTGAAGAAGGACTGAGATACAATGCAAGATTAAATCATTGAGCTAAGAAAATTAATTTAGTAGAACTTGTTTATTCAATAATATATACAGTTTAAAGATTATTTGCACACCATTGTATTTATTGTAGAATTTATATACAAATTAATTAGGTAAGTATATTAAATTCTGTACCCTTTAGTAGCATTTTCCTATTACTACAAAAATTTGATATTACGAAAATAAAATATAGAATCTGATAGAGAACTAAGCTTCGTAGAGAACTAAGGATATGTGCAAATATTTCTATTAATCGCTATATGTATTATAAGCATTTATTTATGTATTTTTATCAATTAGTGAGAATAGAAAGAATACCAAAATCTGCTGGAGAATTATTAAAATTATTTTCGAACTTCCTATATACAATTATTGTGAGGGAATTTCCTTAAGTCCATGGAAATTTCAGCCTGTTTCAGAATCAGAATCGATTTTGAGATTGAAGTGACTATTTCCAGGACGAACTGTAGTACAATTACGTATTACGTATTACGTACAATTACGAGTCGATAAGCATCAGGCGAATAGTTGTTATTACGATTTGTTTAATGTACTTCGGAGTTGAAATGAAGTTAAGCTAGACTATACACAGGTTTGTTATTATGTCTGCACCGCTATGCCTATTGTCCTCGGGACATTGTACTACGTAGAGTTGCACTTGTAACAAGTTCATTCACGCTAGATTTAAATCTAATAACGGGGAGATACTACGCTATATTCTATGTATATAATATGTTATTCCTTGCTAACCAACGAATTGCGAACGTCTGCGAAATATTATTCCGAACTTTGTCTAGAGAGGCGATAATAAGAAAATAAAATTTAAAGTTTATAACTTTAACATTATTATACCATTCCTTATCAAGCAACGAATGTCGTGTAAGAGACTTCGTTATAAACTCTGTTTGAAGAATGGATAATAGGAAAATAGAATTTTTAAGTTTATGATCTTTCAAGTCTGTATAAAAATTCTATAAAGGGCAATATAGTGGGCAGAGGAAAACTGAGGTAAAAGGAGGAACACTGTGTCTCTGTTAAAGGGAAAACGTGTGTATTGATACTGACGGGGTGTGCTGCACTTCTATACGCTGCACGGCTAAAGGGCACATGTCTCATTACACACGAACGTTCTTTTGAATATGTAGCCTAACAAGGATACACCTCGCTGTTTTAGAAATCGATGTCGATAGAAATTGCTTACCAACTATCATGTATTATTATCATTAGAAGCAAACTAAGCATTATTGACTATGTAAGAGACCATCTTTTAACCAATCGATAATTCGATCACGAAAAAGCCGCCGTTAAATAAACGAAATAAGTAAGGGAAAAAATAACGCGGAGACAAGATATAAATACATTTTTCAAAATCTTCGACCTTTCAAAATGAAGTAGAGTTCTTCCTAAACTTTCATTTTGTCCACATTCCCTAAAATTTTTACGCAAGACTTGAAATAACAGATCATCCCTCGACCAATCGACAATTCGTCGCCTAAAAGGCAAACAACGGTTGAACAAACGAGAAGCAGAGAAGACGATAGTACAAGGATAAAATATAAATACATTTTTAATAAATACTACACATCCTTAGAACCAAATACGAAGGCGGAGATATTAAAGCGGGCGTCCGGTCAGGCAGACCACGAGCACAATTCAGGTGACCATAAAATCGTAGCCATACGATTACGGCTGCAGCTTCTTTCTACCTCGTCGGCTGATCCACGGGGTATTAGCCCTAAGCCGCTTTACGGGCCGCACGGCGAAGAAAGAACAGAAACGGAAGGAGTCAGCGTGCGTGGAACGAGGAACGAGCACGTTTCGACACTAACGGCGGAAGCAAAAAAGGGAACACGACGAACAGAAGAGAACAGAAAGAAGCGGAGGGTGAGCTCTGAAACGACCTGTAGGGTGATGGCAGAATGGGGATCGCGCGGTCCTCGGATACCTGTGGCTCCACGCGACTATCGCAACGATGCCTTTTTTTCTTCTCTCCCCTTTGTCCGCCCTTTTTCCTTTCTCTCTCTTTTTTTTGCTTTCTCCTATTCCACCCTTTCTATCGCAGCATTCTTTTTACCTTTTTCACCGCGTCATACCAGTCAACGCGAGCATTATCGCGAATATCGACCACAGATTCGGCTACTGATAACGAGTTTTCGTCGGTGTACTACGCACACGCGCGTCCAAATTCTTTTGTGACAGCTTTTTGGGGGCTTTTGACTGTGCGTGATTTCATTCTTCTTCCTGGAGCAGATGGAATGAGAAGTTTTTTTAACGAAGATACAGAGTATCTCGAAATATGAATATGACAAAAAGATGAATCAGTATGCAGAAATTTGCTTTTCTCTTACGAATTTCGACGCTGTCAGAAACATCTTGAATTAGTTGATAGAATGAACATTCTGCTGCATTTTTTACTCTCATTTTCTAAGACAATATAAAAATACTTTTCCTGGTTTCTTTCTTGAATAAATTATTAAAGAGATTAAAAATTGTACAAATTGTGCAGGAAATTTTCTTACTTTTAAGTTCTGACTTAAATTTCAAAATATTTCATATAACAGGTATATTATATTTAAGATGACTGCAAGCGTTCAAGTACTTTTGTAACCCACTGTATATGAAATTAATATAAGATTTAAGTATCTAATAGGAAGTCATTACTTCCTTGTGAAGGGTCAACATAATAGACAGTGTACGCTATAGAATTTGTACAAAGCCCGCGTGATTCGTACATTCACCTACGAATAACGCAAAAATAGAGCTGCGTTCTCTTTTGTAATGGAACCTAATTTTTTTTCTTGGTATTGACCGTTTCAAAAGGAAGGCTTCTCAAAGCGTCGCTTGCAAAACACCGTTTTGTAACGCAATCAAAGGCTAGTAGTTGGTCAATCGCACTTAACGAGCGATAAAATGGGACGGTGATCGAATTTCTGGCGCGACCACGAAATTCCAGTCGCGTTTTGCAAATATGTACTTCAATTTCCATTAACAGATCGACTTCGATGTACCTAGTTTTTCGTGTTTGGAATGTTCAGAATTTTAATCAAAGAGGAAAAGAAGGTATTTCATCATTTTCTCTTAATCATCTCAATATTCTCTTCATTCCCCAAAATATGAATATTACGAATTTCCTGTGATTTTTTATCTTTGAACCAGAGTTATATTATACGAGCTGTTACAAAATGATGACTGGATACTTTAAATTGAATGAACGGAAACAAAGATAGCACGAAAAAACTGATAAAGCTTGATAAAACTGGTGGAATGGATGTTTTAATCAAGGACAGCTTTAATATGGACCAGGTATTGGGAACTTAAAATATTTCAAACAGAATTTTTACAAATTTCTGCCTTCTCTAGCGTATAATTTATTTGGTGAAATAGAAGAAGAGTAGATTTGATTAGTTTTAAAATAATGATACGGAAGGAAAGTATGAAAGGCAAGATTCGTACATAGAGAAGCAGTAGGAACGAAATCGAACTCAATATTTCAGAAGAACAAAAGCGTATCGAGTGCAACGACGACCCCGATATCGCCATAAATGGAGGCAGTTTCCAATCAGGTCGTCTTACGTCGAACGTCCAAGTTTTAATCAGGCTAGATTCAGTTTTTTCCAATCTGGCGATTCTTCATGAGGGAATCGTTACGAAAAGTTGTATAAAAATTTCATTACGATCGTGTTTCGTCGAGGAACGAAGCATTATAATTAACGATTGTTTTATCAAATATCCGTGGAGGTAAAAATTATTTAAGCTTCTACTACTCCACAACAAAATTGAAATTTTGTTGTTAAATGTACTGCTAGAAATATAATAAATAAATTAGATGTTATTACAATATTACAATCTCGTTCGTTAAATCAAATTAACCATTAACTGTATAATATAACTGTACAAAAAGAAAAAATAAAATAAAATTAAAATTCATTTATTTTATTATTTTATTACATCTTAATTAATTTATTTTATTACCTTCTATTTATGGAAAATAAAAATCTACGCTTTTTCAAAAGTAAGTTTATTATATAAATTATTATATTTATCTACCTTTTGTTTGTTTAAAAATACTCTGAAAGTAAACTTTAAAAACAAAATGACAATTTCATAAAATTTCTTTACACTTTGTACGTTTCAACGTCTCCATAGGAAACTTTTACGCGGAAAAACAACTACGATATACAACAAGATAGTCGAAGTTAATGGGAAGCCAAGTGATTAATATGTTTTTTTATTAAGAATCTTAAAGCAACGGGGAAAACGAAAATTCCCAACATGGTTGAATTATTAATATTAATAAATTTCTGTAACAGGAACGAAAGAAGTTTTACCGCGTTATGTGTTCGTTATTCTTCCTCCTCGACTTATGAAGTTTTAACGATGTCATAGTTGCATTCTTCATGCAAATGCGACATCTCGCTATGGACAAGTTCGATCGAAGACTTAATATTAGACCGACAATAAGACGAAATATTTTACGACGCGGGAAGAAACACGTTGCATGTAGTTTGCAATATTGATAGCATGATTTTATTATATTATGAGAGATGAAAAATCAGATTATAGCAGGATATCAATTACTTCAACTTTCATGATAAGGAGCATGTTTTTTAATATCATTGGATTTCTATGCATTTGCACATTGCGTGAAAATTACGTAAGAACTTAACTGCTTATTTATAATTCATAGACATGTAAGAAATTTTCATCTTTTGTGACAGAGGATACATTTATTCCATTTATTTTTCCAAATATCTATATAATATTTATACAATATTTATACAATTTATAAAATATTTATACAATATTTCCAGCTTTTTTACGTGTTTTCATTTCACGATACGAAAACTAAATTTATCACCCCGAATTCTTCGACATACGTATAGCAAAAAATGATTGTACCAGTATTACTATTTTCTCTATTCCGGAATTGAATTTCCCATCTCCGATTCTTTGACATTTACACGCAAAAATGTTGATCCTTTAGAATAAAAAATACCATTGACATTTCTCACGTTTTCTCGCTGCACACAAAAATTTTACTTCTCGTCTGTGATTTCTAGGCATTTAAACAAAAAAAAAATTGTTGTTTCTCTGCAATAAAAAATTCACTTGTCAATATTACCACTGTTTCGCGTATATATACATCGCGACGCGAAAACTGAACTTGCCATTTCCAATTTTTGAATACAGACAACAGAGAGATAACAGTAAAAGTTTTCATTTGTTATTACAGAAAATATACACATCAGTATTGCTTCTTTTGTCACGTTTCAATCCACGAATTGTATTTTTCGTGCTCAATTTTCTACACGTAACAATCTTCGTTCTAGTTGCCTATCTGTATTTAAATGGAAGTACATGTATATCCTCCTAAGAATTATTTTTCACATAAATTCCATAATGACTGACGTCTATTAATTCAACTTGTGTCCCATAGAAATTCGAAGTTTCCTGATTACGATCATAAAATGAAATATCTGTATTCGATATCTTAGAACCAACAGGGTCAATTATCGTGCAATTTATAATATCCTTTAAGAGCCAGCATCAATGCATAGTACTGTGAGTCGAAGCTTATGCTTGCGGAAAGCCTTCGAATAACATCACGGATATGCATATGTGCATAGAGAAAGAGAGAGAGATCGCGAGTGAATGCGCTGTTGAGTACATCTTTCGGTTCCTCGCCCCGAATGAACCAACGCCCGCAGCTAGAGACACGTTTTCCCGATCAAGATTTCCGCAAGTTATCCACGGTCTTAAATATTTGCACATCTTCGAATATGAACGTTTCGAGAGCTCCTTTCGTTCCTCGGTCGCTCAAAAATATTCTTGTTCTTGTAT